TCTCTCTCTCTCTCTCTCTCTCTCTCTCTCTCTCTCTCATGTGCCAGGTACTCACCTGTGAAGATGGCGCTGTGCTGCAGGTACATCGAAGACGAAGCTTGAGCTATGGCGCTGCAGGTAAGTCTCCCTGGCCTCCACCCAATCTCTCTCTCCCTCCAGTACTACTCTACCTCCTACTAGCGCCCAGCGCTAAGACTACTGCTAACGCTGCTAGCGTCCAGCGCTGAAGACTATTAAGTAGCGCTACTACTACTACTCCAGCGCTCCTCCAGAGTGGACTACCTCCTGCCTCCTGAACTGCACGTGAAGTCCCTGGGAAGTACCTAGGAACTACCTGCCTGCCTGCAGGGCGGGCCAGTCCTACATAGTGCTGGCCCGTCCAGGAGGCTGCTCTTGCCAATGCCAAAACGTGCCAGACCCTGGCGTTGAAGCTCAACCAGGGGTTGTATTGAAAACAGGCCCGAAATGGCCTGTGCGAAAACCCTGGTTTGTTGCCCGAGTTTCAGGGCGGGTCGAGCTGACGAGGGCCTGAAAATGGCCCTCAGTTTCAGGCTGAAAAGACTCAGGGCCGAAAAGCCCCCATTTTAGCCTGAAACGACACAAGGCCTGTAGGCCCTTGTTTTCAGGCTTTTAGGATGAAACGACACGGGGCCTGTAGGCCCTTGTTTTCAGGCTTTTGGCCTGAAAAATGTCATGGGCCTGAAAGTGGCCCGTGCAGCCTGTTGCAGGCGTAGCATTAACACCCCCCCTCCTTATGAAGTCATGCCGGGTCGAGGGCGAAGCTGACGATCTGAAGGCGGAACCTGGACGCGGACGCAACGTGGAGCCGAAGATACCGGTTTGCCTTGCATCATGCGTTCGTAGCGTGCGAGTATAATCGGAGCTGTTGCTTGGAGTTCCGCACGGGTCAACCAACAGTCAGCTTTGTGAGTGAAGTACGCAAAGTGTATCAAGTACTCGATTGGCCTGTTGTCGTAGCGTCCCTGGGAGATGATGTCGCCGACCTCTTGAAAACCGTCCATGTTCCGCTGTTCCGCTGGCGTGTAAAAAGCCAACTTGTGATCGTCGCCCGGGAAAATCGTCATGTTCCGCTGGCGTGTAAAAAGCCAACTTGGAGCAATGAAAGATCGGGCAGACGGGCAAGTGGGCAGGCACCTGAATAGTGAAGGAAGGCCCTTCGGGTGCATCCCCAGCGGGTGCCACGATCAGCCAAGGCCCCATCCATTTCGGAAGGAGCTTGCAAGAGATATCTTGTTCAAGGCTGAATTTCGTGGCGGAAACCCAAACGAGATCACCGGCACGGAATGGGCAAGCCGTGCGCCTTGACAAGTAGCTCTTGCATCCGACGCAAGAAAAGAAGATGGTCGTAGCTCCCGACCGTTCTTGGAATGATTGTGTCCAACGAAGAAGTGATCGGCGAGCCGTGCGCGAATTCGAAGGGCGACATCCCGATAGCCGAGTGGATGGACGAGTTGTATGCCAGCTCGGCATTCAGCAGCCGCTCAACCCAATCCTTTTGGTTGGGACGGATGAGAGTGCGAAGGAGAACCTGTGCGGTTTGATGCGCCCTCTTCGTTTGGCCATCGCTTTGGGGGTGGCGAGCCGAACTTGGCTTGAGATAAGAGCGCCAACCAAAAATCGGACATGAACCGAGTGTCGCGGTCGCAGACGATTTCCTTGGGGTAACCTTTGGTTCGAATCCAACCGGCGTAAAGAACCTCGGCCAACTCCGGTGCCTTGGCATGATAGCGGCAAGGCAAAAACATGGCAAACTTTGCGAGCCGGCCGACCACCGTGAGAATCCCATCCACACCGGTCTTGTGCTTGGGGAACGGCCCGGTAATGTCAATGGCAATCGCTTCCCTTCGGCGCAAGGGGACCGGTAATGCTCGCAACTCGCCGTATGGACGATGGTTGCGGGATTTGCAACGGCGGCAAACCTCGCATGACTCACAATAGCGTGTGACGTCGTCGAGAAGGCCGGGCCCCCAAATCGCTTGTGAAGTCGGCCAATCGTGCGATTGACTCCAAAGTGTCCGGTGGCGGGAGCGTCGTGGAACTCGCCAAGAAGCCGTGTACGTAAGTGAGAGTCACTCGGTACGCGAAGAAGGTCCTTCCCCCACGTGTGGACAAGCAAGTACCCCTCTTGGATCCGGTAGTGAGAAGGTCCTTCACCCGACAGCGTAGGACCCTCCCGGCCGCGTCACGCAGGAGTTGGTCTTAATCCTCGTCGCGAATATACATGGAGCTTCCACAAGCCGCTC